GAAGTGAAAGAGGAGATTTTATGGCCAGTTCCACCCAGCCTTTTTCTTTCACATGTACCTTTACACAAGGAGAAGGCTTTCAAGTACTTTTGTGACATTTTGAAAGTATTAACATAAGAACATACGAGCTCTGCTGGATTAGACCAATGGTCCATCTAGTCCAGCATCCTGTCTCACAGTTTCCAATCAGTTCCTCTGGAGGGCCAACTTACAGGGCATAGAGACCGAGGCCTTCCCTTAATGTTACCTCCTGGTTCTGAGATTCAGAGACTTAGTGCCTCTGAATGTGGAGTTCCCCTCATTCACCATGGTATGGAACACAAGTCACTGGGGAAGAGGGTAGGGTTTTAGTGCTTCACAATTATCACCCTCAATGCATGGGTTTTAGGATACAGCTAACTGTCTGGCTAGTGTATACGTAAAGCTACCATTATTAAATTCTCACCCTCAAAGATAGAGAGCAACAAATATTATGCATATTTTTTCTGCTCTGGATCATTGTGGAATTTATTCCTTTAGACTTTAAAAAATTCAGGCGATAGGACAGTCTTGGTAGAAGAAAGCTGCTGCCATATGTTTTTATATATTTTGAGCACATGCAGTGTATCAGTAGCCTTATTTCTCCTAGCAACAATGGATCAGTGAGATTACCAGAATTGCTATAGCTAATACATCACTAAGAGAATTCAGAACAGTTACCAACTGTGATCATATTCATATTCGCAGTCCAACTGCAGGATGTTTAATCTGACTACCAAATTTCAGAACACAACTGAAATTATTATGTCTTCCTCTGATCCACAGTTTCATATGTAAATGCATCAAAGAAAATTATGCTCAAATAAATTATCTCATATTTTTTAAACACAGTGAGAAAAAAGTATGCACTTCAACTGTCCTACAGGTGTTAACTTACTATTAAAATATGGCTGAAATAACTTCCTCAGTCTGAGCTTTGCTCATTTTCTTATACTCGCAAAAGGGACCGAGGGGAGATGCAGGGACATAGATAACATTGTATAATACCAAGAGGCTGTCTGCTGGGGGGATGTACTAAAAGAAAGGACAAGATTGCCCATTGGAAACAATGGGAAACATGAAGGCCCATTGGATATACTGGGAGCCAGGAGCCTGGAATGCCAATTGACTTGCATGGGCTCCATTGGAAAACATTAGGCTACAAGTAGAGTTGCAATAAAAATGTGGAATGGATTTTACATTAGGGTCTCTGGGCCCAAATAGACTACTCTGGGACTGGAATGACAGGCCCCAGCTTGGAATTACAGACCCTAGGAGTAACAGAAGTCTTCTGGGACTGGGATGAGAGGCCCCAGAGTGGAATGACAGCCCCTGGATGCAGTAGGAGTGGTCCCAGACCTGTCATTCCAGAACCAGAGTAGTCTGTTTGGGCCCAGAGACCCTAATGGAAAATCCATTCCACATTTTTATTGCAACTCTACTTGTACTGTGATGTATTTCAGTGGAGCCCATGGAAGTCAATTGGCATCCCTGGCTATTTCCAATAGGCCTTCAAGTGTTTCCCATTGTTTCCAGTGGGCAATCCTGTCCTTCCTTTTAGTACATCTCACAAGGGGGGGAGAGCGCTTGCCAAGGCCACCTGCACTCGCATGCTGATCTGGGCTCTCCGCCCCGCCTCCCAGCCAGCTGACACGCCTCCCTGACAGGAGGGAGGTGCCTGTGAACCATTCTACCTTGCAGCAGAGGAAGTTTGCAAGCCCCCCCCCCAGCCTGGACCCTCCAAAGGCACTGTTGCTTTTTGTTCCTTGGTGAGCGGCGCAATCTTCTTGCACATTCTCACGTGCATCTGCTGCTCATCATCTCCGACGCGCTGCCTGGCAGGGTCCCTTGAGAAGCC